TAGTGATTTATCCACTGCATAGTGTTATCCACCTTTCAGACAACCCGAGACATGTCCAATCGGTTGACATAAATTGATGCGGTGTATCTTTTCTGTTTTATCATGGATGAGCAGGAGAAGTTGTTATTATAAGTCAAGTAAAGTAATATGGTCATCCTGGAGTAAGCCATTGTATGAAAAACATTGTTTAACGTTGAATCACGGTACATGCACTCACACATCGCTTTTTGTTGAATATGTCCCATAAAGCAGTGCTTCCATTGCAGTCCACTTAACAGGGAGACGCCCCTGGAGAAAGACCAGAACTTTTTAGTTGACAAAGCAGACGAGAATGTCTGTACTGTGGTTTGATATATGAGTTTGTAGTTACCCCATTATTTGGTATAATGATAAAATTTTGCAAGCCACCGGAATAGTCTCTGTGATTAGTCTCCTAAAGAATTTACACGAGGTTACAGGTTGCAGGGACTGGTCCCTTGTAGTATGTATACAAGGACGCTGATTGCAAAGGGACACCATGGACAAAAGTCTTGGGACAAATTTGCACTTGTGGCGCATTTTACATGCGGCAAAGAAACAGTCACGCGTGAATTCAACTACACTTGCCCAGCCCCTCCCCCCACCCCACCTACAATGTAGGACATTTCTCCAGAGTTTCAACATTGGATGGGGTGGGGGGTCGGGGGTGGGGGCAGAAACGAATTTTGAAANGGGGGGGGGGGGGGGGGGGGGGGGGGGCAGAAACGAATTTTGAAAAGGATAACAGCTTGGGAGAAAGGTATTGTTTTTCACTCTTTTGCTCTCCAAGAGCAAAACTGAGATATATATATACCAGGGCAATAACAAAAAAAAAACAAAAAAAAATGTAAATTTAACCCCCGTAGCTACTTAATGAAGCTGACATTTCGAGCGTTAGACCATCGTCAGAGCAAAGAGGACTTTGAAAAATAATTAAAATAATTACTGATCTGTGGTTGGATTATTTTCATTTTGTGTCAGAGACTTGTCTCCCGAACAGTTCACACGAAGGGTTTTGAAAAGACAAGTCTCTGGGACTCTTCATCTTGTCTCTTGCCTTTGATTTTCGTTCGTAAATGTTGTCCTCTTGAACATCTCTGGCCATTCCAAAGTCTGTCACTTTACACGTTTCTTTTTCACCAACCAACACGTTACGAGCTGCCAGGTCTCGGTGGATAATCTGAAACAGAAGGTTACTGGTTATATTTTGATACGTGGGAGAGAAAACAGATAAATCAAGTATCGCGACTCACTGGCATTCAAACATTTCGATATGAATTAAAATCCACGTACATGTTTATTTAGTCGCCAAGTTATATTCCGAAAAAAAAAAAAAAAAAACATTATAAGGTCTTGAGCGAACTACCATCGTTAATCCTCTAGTATCAAATGATGTAAAAAAATAGAAAGAAATCGATAGCATCCGTACGAACTACTGATCAGTGACAGTACAAAATTGGATAGAAAGTGGAACTTTTTTCTCCTTAGAAACATTCCCGCTATGGGAAGACGACCAGTGTAACTTCAGTTCAACTCCCATTAAACGGCCACCCTCGGGGAAAGGGCCACTTAAAGGGGGCTGGCCGCTTAATAGAGGTAAAAACAATAAAAAACCCCTCAGCGGGACTATGATTACTGGCCGCCTAATAGAGGTGGCCGTTTAATAGGTGGCCGCTTAATGGGGGTTCGACTGTACATGTCATGTGAATAAAAGGTGCCTATCATCATTACAGTTCTTTTTGGGCAAATATTCACATCTTAGTCAATTCCTTTTACGAAAAATTCACAAGCCGATTTTAAGTTTTCTTACAGACCACGCTACAACGCGGCAGCATTGCATAGTGGAAACCGTTAGAGTGAGAGGCTTCCAGCAATAACGTGCAATTCCGCAACAGACCAATAAGGATGCAGAACATAAAGGTCCAATAACTGAATACATAACGTACTCGTTTCGATGACAAATAAGCCATTCCATCAGCGATTTGCCAAGCAAACTTCATCAGCTGTAGTGACGTCAAACTTGTTTTTGGTTTGATATCCGGGTCTTTGAAATAAGTGTC